ATGTAAGTTGAAACTAAAGAGCCCAGTGTAGCAGCTTGTATGTCATTAGGGAAACCTCTGTGTCTTTGAAAAATCCTCTCCAGCTCCAAATTCCTAAATCTCTCACAAAGCACAAAGAGTAAGTCACCAAATATTGCCTGAAATTTACCTAGGATAACTAGGTCTCCGATAAAGACGGCACAGTGTTTGAAGTAGACCAACAGCTGGCCTGGAGTCAGGAAAAGAGGGGTTCAAGGCCCAGTTTTCCACATACTGACTATGACCCTGCAGAAGTCTCAACCTCGGTTTCCAGGATTGTAAAGTCATTTAACCTCTTAGTACTATAGATCACCATTTCATAAACTCTTTTATTCCTTCATTAAATCTATTGTCTTGATCTGTAACTGAGGCATCACCAACTACAAGACTTCCTCTCCCCCCAATTAGAATTTATACTCTTATAAGCCATGTCCTTGCTAGAGCATAAAAGGGTCATATCCTTACATAATATATTTCTTGCTTATCCACCCCCCCCCCCATATTATAGAATCTTAGAACCAATAGGGTCAAAAAAGTAATTTAGCATTTGGTAGCAGTAGTTAGAGTGCTGGGCCTGGAATCAGGAAGACCTGCTTTCAAATCTGGCTTCTTATAATAAGATACTTATTAACTGTGTAACCCTGGACAAGTCATTTAACCTCTGTTTTCCTCAGTTTCCACAACTATAAAATGGGAATAATAATGGTACCTACGAACAGGGTTGTAATATTTGTAAAAAAAAAATAATAATAAATAAAAAAGTATCTAGCACTTAGCAAGTGCTATGTAAATCTTTATTCATTTCCCCATTCCACCCCCACTTCCTCCATTTAGTCTAAAGCTCCCATCTTGCATAGGAAATGGACCCAGAAACTATGTCCAAAAGGCTATAAAACCCTTTAACCTAACAATACCATTACTAGGTCTATATCCCAAAAAAGGATTAAAAAGAAAAAGGACCTATATGTACAAAAATATTTATAGCAGCTCTTTTCTGGGGGCAAAGAATTGGAAATTGAGGGGATGCCCATCAACTGGGCGGAATGGCTGAACAAACTGTGGTTTGCAATTGTGATGGAATAATATTGTGCTATAAAGAATGATGAGCAGGATGCTCTTATAAAAACCTGGAAAAACTTGCATGGGCTGATGCAAAATGAAATGTATTGTGCACAAAGTAACAGCAATATTGTAAGATGATGAGTTGTGAATGACTTAGCTATCCTCAGCAATACAATGATCCAAGATAAAATGCCATCCACTCCCAGAGAAAGAACTGATGGTGTATGAATACAGATTGAAGCATATGTTTTTTACTTTATTTTTCTTGAGGATTTTTTTCAGTCTATGTTTTCTTTCACAACATGACTATTATGGAAATGTTTTTCATGACTACACATGTATAACATGTATCGAATTGCTTGTCTTCTCAATGGGGGGGTGGGGAGGGAGGGAGGGAGGAAGGGAGAGAATTTGGAATCCAAAGTTTTAAAAAATGAATGTTTAAAATTGTTTTTACATGTTACTGGGGAAAAATAAAATACTAAATCAATAAAAAATTGGTGAGAAAAAATAAAACAAAATTGGAACAGTCAGAAAGAAAGGAAGAAAAAAAGAAAGAAAGAAAGAAAGAAAGAAAGAAAGAAAGAAAGAAACGAAGGAAGAAGGAAGGAAGGAAATAGACCCAGAAAGGTAAAGTGACTTTATGCAAGATAGATGAGTAGCCAAATGGAAACTAGAACTTGATTTGGCTTCTCTTTTGGCTCACCCTGCTCTAAAGAAAAAATATGATTTCAGAGCTAGAACTTTGAGTTATCCTATGTGAGACCACTGGTATTTATGTCCTGGGAGATGCTGAGAACGAGAATCCAATGGTATGGATATCCTCAACTCTTTTCTGAGGGAAGAGAGATGGAGCAAAGGACATCTGGACTACTGTTGGTCAGAGCAGAAATGGGGGAAAAAATGCTGTCCAACTGTGAGTTTCTCTAATTACCTTGGGGTTCAGAAAGACAAACCAGTCAAACTTTCCTTCTCCATATATGAATACACTCTGTAGGAATGATTTTCTTTAGGGTTTGGGTTGGGATCCTCATGCATAGGCTGGTTGGCTCAAATGGTTAGAATATGATGCTGTGGAGGCAAAGATTACAGGTTTGGTTTAAATTAGCTTTGTTTGACTCTCAATTCACTTTATGGTCCCAGAATGCAACCCCAAAGCCTAGGACCTTACACCACCAGTCAAACTGTGGATTAGTGTAAGTTCACCTTCACTTTCAGGAATCAACCAAAAAAACCAACAAAAATACCCCAAACCTTTAAGAATATACTCATATACTAATAATGGTGGGAAATATTAGTAGTTATCCTCCGTAACATCTTTTTTTAAGAAAGCCTTTCCTGTTCTCTTTAGTCTTTAGTCTTCTCTTTCCTGATCATTTCCAATTTGTCATATATATAACTTGTTTGTACATGGTTTGTTAGACTGTTGTCTTCCCCACTAGGCTGTGAGTTTGAGAGCAAGGATTGTGGGGCTTTTGTGGTTCTTTGTATATTTAGCACTTAGTAAAGTGTCTGGAACACAGCAGGTACTTAACAAATGCTAGTTGACTTAAGGAGCTGACTGCCTAGTTCTTTTTACCCTAAAAGCTATTAAAACCACCGGTATATAGTAAGTGCTAAAAGTGGGTGGTGATTATGACACTTGACAGTGGACAACAAATTCTGGCATCTAAAAACTCATAATAATTATGGGCAATACTCTAATTATGACTGATTATGAGCTTACTTTGATATTGTATTGGAAGTTTATAAAGCCCTCAGAAGTAATGAGCCATTAGAATGTAAACTCCCCGAAGGCAGGGACCTTTTCATTCTTTCGGCTTTGAACCCCCAAGTGCTTAGTGAACTTGCTTAGTAAATGGCTTTTGAAAAAATGAATAAATGAATTATCTCACTAATGGCCTGAGGTCCCTATTTAAGTCCTAGAAAGGCAAAATAAGAAATAGTAAAGCAAACCAAAATAAAACTCTTTGGCCTCCTCTTTCAAGAACTGGACATTCAAAAGTTTTCCTTTGAAGTAAAACAACAGCATCATTTTTTGTTTGTTTTAAAAAATCTCCTCCTCTCCCCTCACAGAAAAATAAAATGTCAAGAGCTGGAAGGGACCTTTTAATTCAACCCCGTTATTTCACAGTTGAGGAAACTGAGGCCCGGAAGAGTTGCATGACTTACTCAATGTCACATAGGAAGCGCGTAGCAGAAGAGAAACCTGAATTCAAGTCTCTTGATTTGGAGTATAGTAGCACTTTCCCTTACATCAAAGTCACATACAGCTTGTTACCTAAGGACAACTAAAAACTCCTGGTTCTTAGTTCAATATTCCTTTCGCTCCCATCTCTTGCATTTATTTGCTTTTTCAGAACTTCTCAAGTACTGAACAATCCTATTTTAAATGTACACAAGGTATGTTACTTAGGCATATTTTAAATATTGTTATCGACATTTTAGGGAATGGGGATTCTGAGGACCCAAAGAGGTCAAGTATGCAAGCATGTGGTCCCTCATAAGCCAGATTTCTCTTCCATGGCCTAGACATTCAGCAGAAATTGTTTCCTCATTTTTTTTCCCTTCCAAATTAAGAAGCCAGAGCAGAAGAATTCTACTTTCTTCAAGCTCCTTGAGCAAGAGGTTTGTAAAGTCTTAAAACTTCCTAAAGATGAAGTGGTATTAATCCTAAATTGGTTTTCTAGTGACTACATAACAGTACCATTTGGTTAATATATCAAATAGCATTTTTTTTTTGCATTTTTACAGGTTGCGTACTTTTCAAAGTTCATATACTAGTGAGGTAAGTATGTAGGAGAAGTTATTATCCCCATTTTACAGATAATTTTAGGGGCTCAGAATCCAATGAAGTTAGGAGTGGAAATGGGGCAAGGGGAAGTGCCCCTCCATGCTTGGAGTGTCGGCTCCTCATTTTTATGAGAACAGAGAAGATTAATTCATGCACATTTTGAAAAGAATGGGCTCAGGTCACTTTCCAAGAGCATTTGTGAGGAGAAAAAAAAAAAACCCCACAACCTCCAAGCCTTAGAAATCCCGGCCGACTAATTTTAGTCACTATCTCCCTCCCCAAGTCCTGCCATCCGTCCGGGCTGCAACGCGGCCAAGTCTCACACTTTTACTCTATCTCCTTCCCCGGACTGTTTCTCTCTCAATTTAATGGGGAAAAGTGGGAACAACAGCGAAGAGAGACTAATGCAAATACACTTCTGGAGGGGGCAGCATTTCCACAGCACAATTCTGCTGGAAGGGTGGGGAAATTTCGGCTCATTTCAACCCTGCCCTGGTTCTTGGGGGGGGTGGAGGGGGTGGGGGGAAGCCCCGGGGGCTCAGCTCCTGGGGGCCCCAGAGAGGGAGGCGTGATCGGAGGTCTTACAGAAGTTGCACAGACAGGGTTGCAGAGGGGAGTGGGCGATCTGGCAAAGGCAGGGAGTGAACGCGTAAAGGAAGGAGGGCGCGGCGCAGCTACCCCAAGCTGAGCCAGGGTCTTGAGCTTTGCAGCCTAAGGAAAAGGGGTGGTGGTGGGAGAACACAATATGCTGATTGCATGGTAGGGGTCGGGCTGCTGCAGCAGCTGGAGGGAACTCCCCGTCCCCGTGCAGCCCGGGTTGTTTTTCTCGCTCTCAGTTGCGGTGGGCGGGGTCCTCCCCGGGCGGGCCAGGCGCGCGCTGGCTCGGGATGACCCTCCCCACCCCCAGCCCTGCTTTCTCTCTCCGCTTCTCCCAGCCCGCCCGCCCCATCCCCCACTTCCCTTTCTTTCTCCCTCCGGCACCAGCCCTCCGCCCCCTTGGCAGGCACCACCCCCTGCCCAATGGCCTGGACTGTTGCGCCCCGCATCAGCTGAGCAGGTCGGGCGCTTGGCTGCTGGAAGCCAATCAGGGCTTGCGGAGGCTGGCCTTGTTCTGGGAATAAATGGAGCTAAGCAGGCTGGGGAACCAGGCAGAGCTGAGAATGGAAGCTTTCCTCTCGGCTATATCCCTCAGAGCTACCTCCACGGCCACCAGCTAGAGCCTCGGGCCAGCGAGCCTGCGGAACGGTCGTCCGGCGCCCTCCACTTTGACAGCTAGTTTCCGCGTCCTTCCAGACCTAGGTAACCAACCAGCCTACCCGGAGCCTTCCGCAGAGGGGCGGGGAGGGACCCTGCAAAGGATGTTTTGCAGAACTTGTTTCTTCCCTTAACCAACCCTGCCTCCCTGTCCCCAAGCGCCATGGTCTTTCTTTCTTGTTCCCACTTATGCCCACCCCTTCCCCTTGGTGCGAAGTCGCACCCAAGCATCAAAGAATGCTCTTTCTTATTTTCAAGGATTGTGATGATGCTAGGCGCTCCAAGGGCAGGCGCCTCCATAGAAAGACTTGGGGCGGGGGGGCGGGGGGCGGGAAGGAGGGGGAAGAGGGTGTTGTTTTTCTTGATGTGTATGTTATGTTCGCCGCAGGACCTCCTGTAAGGGCCCGTTCCATGGTTGCCCCTACACTCATAGTGCGACATTGGGGGCCCGATGTTTGAGGATCTGGATTGTGGTTGCTGCGTTTCTATTTTGTTATTTTCTTTGTGTTTGTGAAAACCAGGGGTCTGTTTTATTAGGGCCCTCGTCCTTCTAGGAGGAGGGAGGAGAAAGATTTTTAGATTTTGTTTTAAAATTTTATTGGAAAGACAGTGGCCAGCCTGGTCATAGTTCATTGTTAGTTGTGCACCACATAAGCTGCTTGCAACTTCCCGCTAGGTCCCGGGGAAATTACGGGGCAATTAGAGGCTTCTATTTGTGACCAAACAATGGGACCTTCTGAGCTGCTGCGTTACCTTGAGAGTCGGTGGAGACTGGAAGAGGCCAGAGACAGAAGGCAGCCGGCCTGGCCTCTTTTACATTCCGCCTGGCTGCCTCACCCTCCCCCCGGCACCCTAATTCTCTAAGGAGGGGCATGCTCCTTCTTACAGTTATCTGTAAGATAGTAAAATCAGGAGCTGGAGGGGAAGGGGGGGGAGGGGGGCAGGGGGTCCATCTCCGTGCCAACCACTGGCAGGGAAAGAAGCGAGGGGTAAAGGGAAGGAGAAAAGGGTTGGAAAGCCCAGAAGACTCAGGGTCATCCGCCTCCTCGTACAGCTCCCATATTCCTTGGACACTGAAGTCAGGGGGGACCCCTTTAGTGATTATGAAGGCAGTTTCCTCCCAGACTGTTTCTCCTCGATCGATATCTCCGCACCTTGTTTCTCGATCTTCTTCTCCTCGGGTCCGGAGGGGAAAGGGGGAAAAACGGAACCACAGCGATCAGTATGAGACCAGTGACTATGAGGAAAGGCATGGACAGAAGCTGAGAAAGAGACGATTGAAGCGTAGGCCTAATCAGATCGATTTCCTTATCCCACAATGGCCGGGGTGAGAGGAGAAGAGGAGGAGATAGCGGGAGGGGGGTCCTAGAAGAATGAAGAGGAGGAAGAAGAATGATGCGGGGGAGCAGCTGCTTCCACCTCAGAAGGCTTTTAAGCCCCTACAGGTGTTCCTACCTCACGTGGTTTAGCCTGAGGTTAGGGACGCAGAAGTAAAAAATCCTTGGCCAGTAGAGGAAGTACTTTTTCGTAAAAAAAAAAATGCCCCGGGGTGAATTGACTAGCCTTGACTAGTTAGTTGGAAGGGAGGTCTCCTGGGAAGAGTCCAAGGAGAAGTGGATTTCTCTGGTATTGGGAAAGAGGTTGAGGTGTGGCTCTGACTTAAGGCCCATTTGGGCAATGGTGCCCTGGAGGACCTGGCCCGAAGGTTTGACTTCTCAAATATTACTTGACAGACCAGGTGAATTTCCGCCAAAGGCGAGAGTACCTGTTTTGGTAAGTGGGAACTGGGTTGTGGTTACCCATGGAAAAACAGTTGCTTCTCTGTTCTCTGTTCAAAGTTATCTACCGGTAGATCCTACTGCCCTCGTAATTGTACTTTCTCTCTTAAATTGGGAATGTATTGCTTCTTTAAAAGAAGCTTGAATAGTTATGTTTGGGTGTCCTATGGTTTTTCAGGACTCCTTCATCTTCTGATTATAGAGTAATCTTTGACCCATGTTCCTGGCTGATTTGAAATTAGCCCTAGTTGGGGCAGGGTTGGTAGATTTAGATTTGATCCCAACTTTTAAATTGGATGGTTGTTCCTTCACCACTTTAGGGGAATGAAGAAAAATGCCATCTCCCTGTCTTAAAAGTTGTGTTTATGGGATCAAACTATCTCTACTGTTAGGTTTTATAATGCCTTTCCATTTATTGACACTTTCTTGGGAAGCCTGCTGGCCTTCTGATTTTTAAAAGTTTTTTTTTTTCCCTCTAGGGCCCTCCTCCCTTTTCTGTTCTTACACATTCATAGAATTTGTGGCCTTGTTATGCCGTGTGAGATGAGGCATAACTGAAACTGATTGAATATCTGTATCTCTCTATGCAGGGAGCTACCATTTTTGAAGTCTTCCTTGATTTCCATCCACCCAACTGCTAGTGTGTTTTATTCATATATATATGGTCAATATTTGTTAAATGAATAAAAGTTAATTGATAGCTTGGGAGTTAATGCTTTGGGTATGCTTCTACCTGTCTGGATAAATCTGCTTTTCTGAGGGATCCTAGCAACAGGCCAGCTTGGGGTCAGTGTTCTCATGCTGGTTTTTTTCTTTCTTTTTTTTTTCCCCACCCTCCCTCTCTTTCCTTCCCTCTCCTCCTGCTTTATAACTATACAGGACCGCTTCCAACATGGCCACCTCAGCCAGTTCTCACTTGAACAAAAATATCAAGCAGATGTACATGAACCTGCCTCAAGGGAACAAAGTCCTGGCCATGTACATTTGGATCGATGGCACTGGTGAGGGACTGCGCTGTAAAACTCGGACCCTGGACAGCGAACCGAAGAGCATAGATGGTAAGAGGGATCTGAGAAACGTCCCTGCAGCTAACCCTTCTTTCCATTTTCATTCTGACCATTTTCCTTTGACCGTTTTTGGATTCTGTCTATCTTCCTCTGAATTCTTGAGAGCAAAGCCTAGGCGACCCTTAGCCCAATTCCTACCAGATTAACTTATTGAATTCCAATTAGAGACAAAGAATGGGGGCCTCTTTTATTTAAATTAAAGTCTGTAGGAGAGAGGAGTTGCCCCTTCCCATTGACTGCTAGTACCATTATTGGAGATTAAAAATCTATGATCCTGGTGAATTGGTCTGACCTTCAGTTTGATTCCTGTGTGAATCCAAGGGCAGTAGTAATAATAGTTGGCATCTGACTTTGCTTTAAGGTTGCAAAGTGCTTTATATTCATCTCATTTTAGCCTTCTGAAGCAGGTATAGTTAGGATCCCTATTTTACGAATGAGGAAACTTCTCAGATGTGGAGTGATTTGTAGGATCACACAGCACCTTCCCTCTATGGAATAGAATAGGACAGTGACTCCACCTAGCTTAGAAGATAATTTTTATATTCTTGAGGAGGAGTGACATGAGTAGTGAGTTGGCAAAGTCACTTCATATGTATATAAAACAATAGTAAAAGCCTTTGTAATTTGTAAGTTAGGGCAGCTAGGTGGCTTAATGGATAGAGCACTGGCCTAGAGGCAGAAAGACTTGGGACACTTACTAGCAGTGGGACCCTGGATAACAAGTAAGTCACTTAACCATGTTGGCCTCAGTTTCCTCTTCGGTAAAATGAGCTCTGTCTCTCATCACAAGAATTCATTTTCTCTATAGAAGAAAAGGAGCAATTAGGTGAGAAGGTTGGGGGAATGATAATCTAGACTGGAAAACACATGTTCATTTTTTAATGGAGTTGGTTGGCTCACCTCCATCTCTTCTCTCCCCACCCCTCCCAGAGCTACCTGAATGGAATTTTGATGGCTCTAGCACTTATCAGTCTGAAGGCTCTAACAGTGACATGTACCTTGTTCCTGCTGCTATGTTCCGAGACCCCTTCCGAAAGGACCCCAACAAACTGGTTTTCTGTGAAGTTTTCAAGTATAACCGCAAGCCTGCAGGTAAAGATTGTTCTTTTTTTCCTCCTCTGATAGGGAATGAGGGGAATTCCCCCCCCCCCAATCTTCAAAATGATTTGGATTGGAGCAAGATAAAGTGATTAGTAAACTCTTGGTCCTTAGAGAGGGGAGAACCAGTTAGGAAGGTATTGGAGTAGCCCAGCAAGGGTTCCATGAGATCCTGAATGAAGAGCCACTATGCAAATAAAAAGAAGGAGCTAAATGGGAGAGAAATTTGTAAAGGTAGGAAGGAAAGATCTTTCTCAGCATGAACTTGGGACAAATAGGAATGCCCCTGAAAGAGAGGATAATAAGGGAACTCAACTTTGTCATAAAGATCAGTGGAAGAAATTGGAGATATTTTTTAGACTGGAATAGATAAGACTGAAGAAGGAAGCATGGCAGTCTTGCAAGTATTTGAAAAAGGTCTTTATGTGGAAGAAAGATTCTACTTGGGACTAATGGCTAAAAGTTATGGGGAGGCAGATTTGTGGCGAAACATAAAGAAAAATTGAATTTGGCTTGAGTAATGGAGACTCCATTTCCTGCCTTTTATACTGGCTGGTCTCCCATTCCCTGCAATCTTCTCCCTAGTAATCTCCACCTCTTAAAATCCCTAGCTTCTTTTCCTTTAAAAGCTCATCTCAAGTACTGTCTCTCTAGGAGGCCTTTACGACTCTCCCTAGCTACTAGTTGGTGCTTTTCCACTTAAGGATATTCTTTTGATTTGTGTCTCCCTTGTTAGAATGTGAAATTCTCAAAGGCAGCTTTTTGTTGTCATTGGAGGTATTTAGCAGAGGCTAACTATGATTCATACTTGCTTAATTAATGTGTAGACAGGATTGATAAAGAGTTCTGGGGTTGAACTGAAGTCTCTCTGCTCCCTTTGAATAAACTTTCCCTCCTTTCCCATCTTCTTAGGCCCAGTCCACATACCTTCTTTACCAAGTGGCTGTTTAGGGCTCAATACCTACCTCACTTAGACAATGAGGGGAGTTTTGGGCTAGATTAGCCTGTTCCAGTTAGCATTTAACTACTTTTAAATTGTTTTTCAACTCATCTCTTTTTCTCTGAGCCTCAGTTTTATTTAGTATGACTATCACGGGGGAAGAGAAAACAAGCATTTATATAGTGCTTTATTATGTGCCAGACTGAGTGACATAGTGGTTACAGAGTGCTAGGTCCTGGAGTCAGGAAGACCTGAGTTCAGATCTGGCCTCAGACACTTAGGTTTGTGACCCTGGGCAAGTGACTTACGCAGCCATCTTTGCCTCAGTTTACCTTATCTGTAAAATGATGTGGAGAAGGAAATGGCAAACCATTCTAGTGTCTTTGCCAAGAAAACCCCATATGGGATTTTCAGTTGGACGCGACTTAAACAAATGAACAGCCAGCAATAACAAATGTGCTACACTATGCTAAAGGGCTTTTTACAAATATTATTCAAAGGACAGGGATCATATCTTAAATTTTCTGTATCCCACACACCCACACCCACACAGTTGTTGACCTAATCAATGCATGAGACAGTCGAACATCTGTGTAGGGACAGCAGTGTCACTGAATGAAAGGTAGTCAATGTTCTCACCCAGTGTTGTCTTGGCAGAGGGTCTTGTCCTGGAGAAGCAACCCAGTATAGAGAGAGATAAAAAGGTTTAAATTGCTTTCTTCCAAGTCCTTATCCTTTAATTTGAATTGTCTGTTTTTTTAATGAGTTAAAATTTGGTTTGGAATAGCCTTTTGGGGGCAGCCTGTGGGTAACCATAAGAGGCTTCTCCTATCTTGTCAGAGAAAGGTCCTAAAGACCTCGCCACTCCCCAGATCTAACTCCCACATTGATTTTCGATTAGCCATCAACTTAATTACATGTAAAATTTCTCTGGCATCCGGAGTCCACCTTCTCATTTTATAGTTGAGAACAGTCACAGTGAAATTTTATGTCACTTGCCTAGGGTCTCATAGCTACTAGTTTCTGAGGGGGCTTTGAACCTAGTCTTTCTGGCTCCAGATTCAGTTTTCTAGCCATACTTCCTTTGGGAAAGAATAAGACTTAATGCATGTGATAAATCCAAGGACAGCTTTCTTTTGTAATTAGAACAAACTTTCTTTGGCCTTCAAATATGTGTAGAATGTGAGCTCTGCATCAGATTTGGAGTCCAAAGTTCACCTAGCTGGTCAGGCGTGACAAGTCACATTACGTTCCTAATGGTTTCTTTATTTTTTTCTTCTATTCCAGAAACCAATTTGAGGCATACCTGTAAACGGATAATGGATATGGTGACCAACCAGAAACCTTGGTTTGGTATGGAACAAGAGTATACTCTCATGGGAACAGATGGACACCCTTTTGGTTGGCCTTCCAATGGGTTCCCAGGGCCCCAGGGTAAGCTTTCCTGACTACAGAACCCCGCTAGTTCCTTCTTCAAAAAGCTATGCCATTATCCCTGGGGTCCAATTCTGCTGAGTCCAGATGTGGTCAGATCCTAGTACCAAAGATCTTACATTATAATGTGAAGGGAGGATTGGTGGGAACTACAGGCCCAGCCAAGGATTGGAAGGAAGGGAGAGGGGTAATCTCCAAACTAACGGAGTAATAGTCATCCACCAGATAGCTGTGCAGGTCTTAAGGATGCTCTTTCTCTTTCCCTCCTTAAAGGGGCTTGAATTTCCTCTCATATTTCTGCCTTACGTGTTTGCCTCCTGTCTTCCCATGCCCATAGGTCCATATTACTGCGGTGTGGGAGCTGATAAAGCTTATGGGAGAGATATAGCAGAAGCTCATTACCGTGCTTGTCTATATGCTGGAGTCAAAATTGGGGGAACGAATGCTGAAGCAATGCCATCTCAGGTAAAGACTTCCCCTTTGATCCAGGTTCAGGCTGGTCTAGAGGAAACTGGGCAGGGGACGTTGCTTCCGAATCACTGGGCCAGGGTAGGACGGGACAGGTGGTGGACACTAGTTTTTACACAAGGTGTCCTTAATTTTTGTGGTAAAAATTTAGGGATGGAGATGGGAATAAGTGATTTTGAAGGGAAAGGTCTCTTTGCCGACACACAAAGTTAAAAATCAAAAATAAAACTCTGCCCTCAAGGAGCTTATCTTCTACTGGATGGTAACACTACCCTGATAAATCAACAAGTCAGTTCATTAAGCACTTACTATGAGGCAGGCAAGATGAAATACACATCCAGAGTAATTTGAAGGTGGGAGTGGGAGAGCACAAACAGTGGAGGCATTGGAAAGGACACACTTCTGACTTTGTGATGGTCTCTGAATTGGAGGGGGATGGTGGCAGGTAAATTTTAAAACCAAACGAATCATGTTGGTGTTCTCTTCAGTGGGAGTTCCAGATAGGACCGTGTGAAGGGATTGAAATGGGAGATCACCTCTGGGTTTCCCGCTTCATCCTCCATCGAGTGTGTGAAGATTTTGGAATGATTGTAACATTTGATCCCAAGCCAATCCCTGGAAACTGGAATGGAGCTGGTTGCCATACTAACTTCAGTACCAAGGCCATGAGAGAAGAGAATGGTCTAAAGTAAGAAACTGATTGATTCTTCTGGGTAGCTTTGCTGATATTTAGTCTTTTACCATGGAGGCAGAGGAAGGTGGGATATGGAGATGTGGGAGAAATGAGAATAGGGGGCAGTTTACGAAGTCTGGATAGATAGAAATAGGTCCACCATGCTTCCCTAGGGCACATCCTGTTCATGTCGATCCTTCTAGCTGGAAAGAAATAACCTTTTTGATTATGTTTGGGATTCTCGGTTTGACTACGGTCCTTAAAGCATGTGGCACATTTGGGAAAAGTACTCTTTCCAGAGGAACAAATTCAGTGACTCGGTATTAAATGATGGTCAAGGAGGAAAATCAGTGAGCAACGATTGACATTTAAAGTTATTGATACCTGTTTACTCTTTTCCAGTTGCCCATCCAAGGCACCACACACACCCCACTACTCAACCAAGATAGGGATTGCAATCTCACAGATGTACTACATTCCTTACCCATAATTCCCCTCTTCAGCTAAAAGAGGGAGATTCATTTCCTCATCTTGGCATTAAATTTCAATGACTAAAAACCAAATTTGTACTAATACAGATTGATATAAATCATAAATGAGGAGGGAATAGAATTAATTAGTTTATAGACCTGGTGTATACCTAGTGCCTTACGTTTATAAGAGTATTTCTAGGGTTGTGAGGAAGGATAGATACTAGTCTCCTTTTGCAGATGAGAGATGACTTAAATGGCTTGTCCCTAGTTAATGTGCCTCAAATTCTGGGTCTCCTATGACTTAGACGCTTTTTTTCATTATACTACAAAGTCTTGAGCCATGAGCCACAGTGCTTTTACTTAAAAACAGGTTGAGAAATTGCCTTCTCAAAGAGGGAGAGAATTTGGAACTCAAATTTTAAGTAATTTTTGCACTTAAATTAGGAAATATTTAATGACATAAAATGTATTGGGAAAAAATACTAGGTTGAGAATTCCCCAGTTTTAGATTTGATCTATTGGCAGAATAAATGTTCTAGTCCTTTACCTTTTAAACTTAGAAACATGCGGATCCTCGTATCAGCTCCTCTCTGCCATCTTTTGCCTTTCCTACGGCTGTTTCTCTGACCTCACCTTGCGCACGCTTTTTCTTCAGGTTTATTGAAGAAGCCATCGAGAGGCTGAGTAAGAGACACAAGTATCACATCCGAGCTTATGACCCCAAGGGGGGTCTGGACAATGTCCGTCGCCTGACGGGTTTCAACGAGACATCTAACATCAACGAGTTCTCCGCCGGCGTGGCCAACCGAGGAGCCAGCATTCGGATTCCCAGGATGGTGGGGCAGGACAAGAAAGGCTACTTTGAAGATCGCCGCCCCTCTGCCAACTGTGACCCTTACGCAGTGACAGAGGCGCTTATCCGTACCTGTCTTCTCAATGAGACGGGAGAAGAACCCTTTCAGTATAAAAACTAAGCGGACTAGACCTGCAGATACCTTCTGTATCCCCCACCCCGTAACCCTTTTCTCACGCCCTCTTCCAACCTCACCTCTCCCCTCTTCCAATTTTCCCTACTAGATGTAACTCAGGGCACAAAATACCATGTTTTTTTTTTGTGCCCACAGATAACTCCTTGCTTTTTTTTTTCTTTGTGGGGGAAGGGGAGTAGGGTTGGGGGATGTTTTTAATCTTTTGTTTTTTCCCATCATTGACTTTTTGAAGACTGAGAAATAGTATGTTAGTGGGGAAAAAGGGGGTTGGGGAACATAACCACTGCTTCCATCTAATCAAGTTTGTACATCAACATAGACTTGTGGCTTCCAAGGAAAAAAAAATAAAAGAATAAGTATTCGAGAAGGGGAGGGTTGGGGGAGAGTGGAAGGTGGGTAGAAGGAGGAATTTATTGAGTTTTTTGGAAGGGAGAGAGAAGAGTATTAAATTCATGAGACTCCAATCTACTTTTCTTAAAAGATAAGAATTAGTAAGGGGTGGTGGTCTCAGCTTACAGGAAAACAAACCTCTATGGGCCTCATATTTTCCCTGGCCTAGTGGGGAAACCTTGGCCAGAGGCTAGGCCGTAGGCTTTGTGAACCGATGGGGACTGCTCAGCTTTAGAAAAGAGAAAAAGAATCTTACCCACTCATCCTCCCTTCACCCAAAGCAGAGTAGTATTTTTATATTTAAATTTTAAAACAAAAAAACTTTATGGTCTATATGTACATGGGTCGGGGGTGGAGAGGCAGTGCAGGGGGAAAAGTGTGGTCAGCAGCAGGGAAGGAACTCCTGCTAAGAAGAAAAGACTGTGCTAGAAGGGAATTGGTATAAAAAAGCCAGTTTTGGTCGCTGGCCATCTTTTGAGCTTACCCTCTTGCCCTGTCCATGTTGAGGTGGTCACAGCTAAAGGCAGCAGGAAGCACCTGGTGGCTGGGATTTTAACAAGCACACGTTGAAAGAAGCCCACATATATGGGAAGGGAATGGGGGGGGGGGATTTGGGGGGGTGGTAAAAAGTATGAGTTGGCTGGTCAACTTAACCATGTTACTGACAAGGCGGGAAGGGTTGTGGGTGTTTATTTTCTGGTGGGACTAGCATGTCACTAAAGCAGGCCTTTTGATATATTAAAAAACCTTTATAAAGGCAAAACAATTTTAGATTCTAATGTTTATAGGGTTTCTAAGTTGTACAGTTTTTCAGAGTTGCATGCATGTATGCCCTAGTATGCTCAAACCGTCTCCTTGCCTTTTAGTGATGAGGTTGGGCTTGACAGAGCTGGGTTCAGACATTTGTGATTTTGTATCCTGGTATCTTTTCTGAGTGCCGGATCTTCCTTTGCCTTTTTGTCAAAAAGATTTCTGATTAGTTTTTTCCTTTTATAATAAAAACAAAACAGAACAAAAATACCCTTAGTTTCCAGCTCTCTCCCTTGCTGGTCTCTCTGGTTTATTATGCCGTTACTGGCTTGGTTAGTTGGACACCAATGGACAGGGTTGTCTGGATTTCCTGGCTTTGACCTCGAGCTAGGTTTTTTTTTCCCCATTGCCCTTGCCACGAGGAATTCTTGGTCATGTATAACATGTTCAGAACTTAATATTGCTGTATTTTAAACAAGCTACTTATTGCTAGGATAGCTCCTATAAATCAACCCAGAGTTTATAGATTCCTTTCCATTGACATTTTCACCAAGTTTTGTATATCCCTATGTATGATGCTAACCTCTGTCTGCCGTTTACAAAAAAAGAAAAGAAAAAAGGCCCACCTTTCTCCTGCCCTTCAAATTACAAATTCCATGCACCTCACTGCTGCTTGGGAGCTGATGGTTTTTGAGAACTAGACAATTAAACGATTATCTGAACATACTGCTTAGGGATACTGTTATCATTTCAGAGAAGAAAAAGGTCTTATTACCTCTTTTGGAGAAGTCTTATCATTAAATAGTAAATTACTTGAAATGTTCTTACTTCTGTAATAGATACTTGTGTACTTTAACCTCATACCCTAATAGCCGGGAGAGTTTATGAACTAGAGAATTAAACAATTATCTGAACATACTGCTTAGGGATGCTATTGTCATCATTTCAGAGAAGAAAAAGATCTGTTTTAGGAGAAGTCTTATCATTAAATAGTAAATTACTTGAAATGTTCTTGCTCAACCTAATAGCCAGGAGAGTTTGTGTCTTGTAGAGACATTTCCTTTGTCTTTCAGAAGCTTCCAGGTCTTGCCTGGGTATTCCAACCATTGGTGGTATAACTTTCTCCACTCTTTGAAAAACTTTCACTGGAATTTGTAATAGAATTCAACTCAAATTTACTTAGCTTGACATGAAACAAAGCAGTCCCCGCCCTCAACTAAGTGCTGGGGGAGGTGGGGTGTGGAATGGGGGGAGGACTTGGAGGCAGGACCTGGTTTCCAATGATCGAATATGTCGATCTGACCTTAAGTTATTGACCGCTCCTGACTAATTTTGGTGGCATTATGGGGGATTGGACTAGATTACCTTTAAATTGTAGCTCTAAATTTGATCCTTCATAACCCCAAGTAATGTGGACCCAGTCTGCTCCCCAGCCCCGCTATTATTTTCACTTGACATAGTGCTTTAAAAAAAAAAAAAGTTACTAGCTGTGTGACCCTAGGCAAGTCACTTAACCCCAGTTGCCTCACCAGAAAAAAAAGTTATCAGTTATGACCAGTAGAGATTAGCAAAGGCAGTACTAAATTGAAATCTCACAGAATGTGATGACATCCTTAGAGGGAGGGCTTCTCTCAAGCTCTGTCCAATGTCACTCCCAAAAGATGTAGGTTCTGAGTTTAATCTTTAGAGGTCCAGGATTGCCCTTCTAGGCATACTCTGTCTTTTCAACCAGCTTTTGCTAAAGAGATGGATGGGAAACTGACTAATCTTGTAACCTATATTCTCAGTCATTACTTGATGAAAGAACTTTTATCAAGGTTTATGTGGTTTATTGTCCAAAATCAAATAATTTGTTCAACCAATCACCTAGCTACCTCATCTCTTATCTCCTACACTCCTAGTTGATTTTGAATACTTTTAAGTCTTGGGATCGTAGGCCATTTCACTGGTTCCAATTTGCCTTCTGGTGGAAAGGGATACTACTGCAGTCAGAATGAGAGTAGAAATGAATTAACATATTCCCATCTCCACCCTTACCTGGTATTTGCTCTGAGCCACCGTCACCCACCATCACCAATTTCTTTGTGTTTCTAAGGCGTGTTTTGTGGCTCTGCTCATTTAACAGACTTTTGAGTTAAATGATAACTGATATCACTGACAAATTGGTAACCACACCTTCAGTATTACAGACAGAACTGGTTGGATCTTCTAGGATAATAGTAACTTAAGGAAGTCAACCCACTCCAGACGTCAATAACATTCCATTGAATTTTGTCAGGATAAAAGATAAAAAAAGTCAAGCGTAGTCACAAACCCGCAAGATGAAACTCTTCTGGTAGAGCTGTAGGTGCTAAGGGTAACATCTTTGGCTGTCCCAGTTCCTAAACCAATAAGGTTTTGGATGAATCCTTCCTTCCTTTTTTGTCACTAGACACTTGGCCAGTAAAAATCCAAAGTCTAAAAATAAATTTAGGATCCAGACAGCTAATACCACTATCTTGTGCTCAGCAAGACTTGTATTGATTTGGTTTGCTGGCATTAAACTTGACTATTTTAAGTTGTATCCCAAGACTGCAACTCTCCAGTTGGGTTTTGTCAAACCAATTTGTCCCTAGCTTGAGTGTTTAGTAAAACAAGGAAACAAACCCTTAATCTCAGAACTGCTGGGATAAAGACTCCCTTTATTCTGAGATTGAATCTTTAAAAGAAAAGACTGTTACTCTGGTTTATAGAAGAGATAATAAGTTGATCAACATTGATTAAGTGCCTGCTGTGTGCCAAGCACAGTGCTAAGTGGGGATCCAAATACAAAAAAAAAGATAGTCCCTGCCCTTAAGGAGCTTGCTTTTGGTCAGGGAAGATGAACAATGGAAAGCTGAAGGGTGGGAGTTAGGGGAAGTATTGGGGTGTGGCGAGAAATGGGGAAGGGATAATGGAAGGCCAGGTGGAGGAATCAAAGAAATAAAAAAAAAATGAGCTGTAGTGGGTAATGAGATGTCTCTGCAGTCTCACCTTAAGGAGTTGATAATTCCATCCTCTGATCTGAGGGTATTGATGGGGTGTGGCTACTAAGGCTGACTGGATCTTACAAGATGACATTTCCCAAAGATGAATTTACTGGGGACATTGTGGAGAAGTCAAAGAAGTCCTATATAAAACTAAGAGGGGATGGGGGAAATGGGTCAGGATATTGTGGAGAAGGAGGGTATTTTCACTTTTTGAAATGATAAATTAGGCCAGAAAGTCAGTTTGCTTTGTGAAGTACTGTATCTGAGTGATAGAAGGGTGCTTCCCAAAGGGATTCATTATGACTTATGTAGTTGGTTATCTTAGAAAATTAGGCATCTCTAATTAATTCACAAACTGTAATTATCTCTACCCAAATCCATCAGATGCTTGTCATTCCAATCTTCACCAGCCCTAGCACCAACAAGAGGTACTCAAAAGGAAATTCCAAGTAATCCTTAAACTGTACATTTTGAAAGTACAAATCAAAACATATCAAAACATATTAAGATGTAGCGTCACACTGTTCCTGACCCCCCCCCCCCAATTGCACCTAAATATTGCTCAGTTGTTTTTTCAGTCATGTCCTACTCTTCCTGACCCCATTTGGGGCTTTCTTGGCAAAGATACTGGAGTGGTGTGCCATTTTCTTCCCCAGCTCATTTTACAGATAAGGAAGCTGAGGCAAACAGGGTTAAGTGACTTGCCCAGGTTCACACAGCTGATAAGTGTCTGAGACCAGATCTGAAAACTTAGAAAGATGAATCTTCCTGACTCCAGGCTCAGCACTGTATCCACTGTACCTTCCCCCCCCCCCCCCGCCGACCCCTGCCCCCCAATCTAAATACATACAGCTATTTCCCCATCCTTAAAGAAAAGGCTATCCTTGTTAGGGAAATTGATATGGGATTAGAGTATATCTATTAGACATAATAAGCATTCACATTTTTGTTGAACTTTATTGTGCAGAATATGTATCAGTCATGAGAAGAACTTCAGATTTTGTAGTTATAAGACTTGGTTTCAAATTCTAATTCCCTTGTTTTACTACCTGTGTGATCTTGGGCAAGTCATGTAACAAATCTCTGGGCTTGTTTCCTGAAATGAAATGGTTTGAACTAAGATCATTGATCTAGACCTGGAAACCTTAATAGACATCAAAGTCCAGCTCCCTGGGTGAGAGTATACTGGTTCGGCTCACGAGCTATATATAGCAGTAGAAAAAAAAAATCACCTAATCTCTGAGGGGATAAGTAATAGCAATACTCTGTGGACCCAGGCTGCCCCTGGGAACGGGAGTTGGGAAAGTAGCTCCAAATCTACGCTCTACACAAATATCTATTGATTGTCATTGGCAAAAAACAAAAACAAAACCTATGAGATTAATACTATTATCCCCATTTTACAAATGAGAAAATTATCAGAGTCGAAATTTGAAATGGTTTTCTTCAAGAGAGATCAATTTGTTTTCTACTATATCAAATTACCCAACTACTATATCAAATTTCCCAGCTTCCTGTCAGGATCTTCAAGTCTGGAAAGGTTGAGGACCCTCAGAAAATCCTACTATAAGGCTATCCCAATCCTCACAAACCTTAAATTTTTTTTAAAAAATACAGATGAAATATAATTGTTACTACCAAAAAAAAGTGGATTGAGAAAACTTTTTCAGAATCACTTCTGAGAAAAATCTAAACTCATAGGGAAGCCATTCTTGATTAAAGTACGAGAAGAAAATTGGCTTCCTCAAACCCTATTTCATAGAAGACCACACTTTTAGAGTCATGAATGTATGATTGAATAGAAGATGAAAAGATCTCACTTTGCTTATCTGTTGATTATTTTTAAAAAATGGACCCAATAGAGCAAAAAACACCTTAAGGATTGCCATCTATGAACCAGCCCCTGAAAATGTTAAAATCACATAAAATTCCTTGAAAGATGATGTCACAACAGAGAATTTTGCTTCATAGCATGCAATTATAAATATCAAGTGAGGCACAAAACTGGGAGATGTATAATTGACAATGGTGTTTGCCACTATCATTGAGGATGTCCAGCATAGATTCCAAATGGAAGAGAGATTCCCTATAATTCAGTTAATCAGCAATAATTTATTAAGTCCCCAAGATATACTGATTCTACAAAGACAAGAATGAAATCATTCCTATCCCTCAAGGCATTTATATTCGGTTGATAGTGAAGTTCTTCAAATCACGTGGATGACATTTTATTGATTATATTAAGACACAGAACATTTCAGAGCCTCCTAAATGAATTCCATCATCAAGCAAATGAGTTTAGCCCAACTAAACAAGTTTAGCACAAGTCCAGTAAAGGGGTCAAGCCTACTGGCTTTTCTGTGATATGTGACTGAATGGAAACTCCATAGAGCTGGTCTATCAGTGTGACTCTATCTATCTTGGCACTGATAGTCAAATGAGACTAAAATTAAATAGGATGACAGCAGGCTGGTTTGCTTTTGGGCAATTGCTCAGTGCTTTTAATGACACCAAATGTTTTCCTGAAACAAAGGCCTATACTTCTAACCCCAAAAATCTTCCAGTGAGGTTCCATGGCTGTAAAGCATTGAAGAATACTAAAGAGTTAAAGCTGAGATCACCCAGAAGGCAGTGTTCTAGGCTACAGTATGTTACCAAGGAAGAACTAAGCAGAAGTGGGGATGAAAGAACTCTGAAAGAAATGTATGACCTAAAGAAAAGTTGGTAGTGACAGTGAGAATGTGTACTTTATCAGTACTCATAGAAAGTAAAGGGGGCAGCTAGGTGGCACAGTGGATAGAGCACTGACCCTGGAGTCAGGAGGACCTGAGTTCAAATCTGGCCTCAGACACTTGACACTTACTAGCTGGGTGACCCTGGGCAAGTCACATAACCCCACTGCCTAGCAAA